TGGAAGGTGAATAGTAGAGATGACTGCAGTTCTCAAGTAGAAGATTGCTTTGAAGAAGCATGTTTCACTTTTTCAACTATGACATGATCTTCTAATTAGAAAGGATCTGATCATGAGGATTTTGTACTTTGTGGATCTTAGGTGGCTTGTTCTTTTCATCAAAGTTATTTCAGTTGTCCAGGTAAAAGAGGCTGAGATTCCAAACTGCAGGAATGAGGATTGGAGAGAACATGAAGAGAATTTTAGAAGACAAAAAGTGATTGGATTTTGTAAGCATGTGAGAGTTGGAGAAAAGAGTAGAGTGAAAGATAAAGTTGAGATGGGGGCACAGAAAGAAGAGCAGATTTAAAGGAAGCAGATAGCGAATTAAATTTTCTATGTTGAAGACCTGTGGGAAATTCTCATGAAGCTATCTAGCAGATAGTTTGTAAGAACAGTCTGATGCTGTGGAAGTCATTGGCATTTAGGTATTTTAAATCATGGTTGTTGATAGTTGAGATGACTAAAGGAAGAGTGTATAGAGTGAGAGAAATGCTTAAAGATGGAACCCTGGAGACACTTAGATGTAAGCAGCTAGCAAAGCAATCCCTGAAGCGGACTGAAAAGTTGTGTTGGAGAGTTGTATCCAACATTCCGAGGACGAAGATGCTATGAGTAGTCAGTAGTGTCACACTCTACAGGAATTGGAAGGAAGAGGAAACATTTAAATTTGTAGTAGTGTTAGGGACTTCCACAAGAATGGGTTGTGGTGGAGAGCCCTCTAGTGGAAGGGAGCATGGCGTTCGAGGAAGTGGAAGGAGCCTAATAGAAGTGAAGCCCAGAAAAGAATGTGAAAGGGGCTTGCAAAAAGGTTTTTTTATCCTTTCAGTACAATGTGATCACTTTCTTAATGGAAAGAAATTAATTAGGGTTTGTTTTAGTCCCTTAATGTATGAAGGTTATATGTAAATTTTTCTTCTCTTCTGCCTTGTGAAAGGTAGAAAAGAGGTTTTGAGGAGCTAAAACTTGTGGAGAATGACATTTTTTTCAGCTTTGGGAAGTAAGAGGGGAGTAAGGGAAATTTTCTCTCAAGAAGCACCAAAGCCAGCAGTAAAGAGAAGCTGCAGGGCCGTTTGACACCTAGCTCAACTGAAGTTCCAAAGGCATGGACCAGCCCCAGAAGAATGAGTTAAGCGAACCTTACCTGTCAGTAAGCTGCTAACTAAGAAAAACCATTGTAAAATGTGTTATTGTACATATTTAATTTTTATACTGCCTCTTCTAGAAAAACTACCTGCTTTATTACTTTGTTTTCTATATTTATTGTATGAAAACTGAGATTAAATTTACCGGGAAGAAGTTCTTCATTTATTTCCTCCTCACACAAAAGACTAGATAGGAGGATATTCTTTATAACTTCTCTTCCTTTGTTTTGTTAAATTGGTAATTATGCATAGAGAAAATTGTGAAAGAACGTATTTTAACAATTAACATTGCTTACCTCAGAGTGGAATTGGTGAAAGAAGGCTGAAATTAACTTCTTTTTGCATTTCTTTGTTGTTTAACTTAATTACTGTGTTTATGAAACAACCAATAAAGTATGTAGTGTTTATAGGGAAAGACTAAAAATAAAATAAATTAATACATATTTGTAGGAAGATTAAACAATCTAGAGATATACAGTGTAGGAAGCATCTGCCACTAAATTCATATTGTGTGTCTTTAGCTATATATAAGCTTTTATTACTATACAAATTGGAACGTGGATTATGTAAAGATGTATATATTCTTAAAACTGTATGCTTTTTAATTTGTATCGTGGGCATCATTCCATATTGATATATATCCATTTATTCTTTTAAACACGACATAGAATTTTGAAAACTTTTTGGGGGAAACTTTTTTTTAATTGAAATATAACATATACAAAGAAAAGTATCCAGGTTAATGACTTTTACAAAGTGAAGATGAACATATAACCACCATCCAGATTAAGATGAAGAACAGTGCTGGTCACTATATAAGCCTCCCTCACACTGCCTCCCATTAATTAACCTCCTGTCTCCTAACTGTAGGTAACCACTCTTCTGATGGCCATCTGTGTAGATAAGTTGTGTCTGTTTGTTAACTTTATGTAAATTGAGTCATACAGTTGTGTGTGGCTTTCTTATTTTTCTTTTTTGGGGGAAGATTAGCCCTGAGCGAACAGCTGCCAATCCTCCTCTTTTTGCTGAGGAAGACGGGCCCTGAGCTAACATCCGTGCCCATCTTCCTCTACTTTATATGTGGGACACCTACCAGAGCATGGCATTTGCCAAGTGGTGCCATGTCCACACCTGGGATCCAAACCGGCGAACCCTGGGCCGCCCAGAAGTGGAATGTGCGAACTTAACCGCTGTGCCACTGGGCCGGCCCCAATGTGTGGCTTTTTTCTGTGTGTGTCTGACTTTTTTTTGGCCAACATTATTTTGGGGAGATTTATCCATGTGGTTACATATAGCGGTGGTTTATCCTTTTTTCTGTTTGATCTAGTAGTCTATAGTAGAATGCATAAATGTCAGAACTTATGTATTCTCCTGTTGATGGATATCTGAGTTGTTTCAAATTGAGGACTCTCATGGATAATGCTCGTGTAAGCCTTCTTGCACATGTCTTTTTAACCTGTTTCTATTGAGAATGTACGCATTTCTGTGAGCTACATACCAAGGAAAGAAATTGCTAGGTCATATGGTATGAGTATATTCAGCTTTAGTAAATACTGCCCTGTTGTTTCCCAGTGTGGCCCTGACATTTTACGCTTCCATCAGCAGTAGGAGATTTCCAAATACTCTGTGTCCTTGCCAACACTTGGTATTGATGGCTTTTCGTTTGCTTGGTTTGGGTTTTTTGTTGTTGTTTGCTTTTGATGGCTGTTTTAGAACATTAATTTTAAAAGTCTGCCCAGTATTTTATTATGTGAGTAAACTATAATTTAACTAATCTCCTTTTGTTGGGCTTTTGCCCTCTTCCCCCACTGCAGCACAGTCAGAACCTAGATAGCTCTGTTACCTCGTGGGCTCTGTGGTTTGTTTTCTGTGTGATCTGACTGTGTGAGGAAGACTTACTATTCAGAATAACAGAACTGATACATTCTTTTTTTTTCTTAACAGATTTTCCTCAAATTCCTTCTTTGTTTGAGCAGTATAGTACCAAGATATAGATACGAAGAATCTATAAAAAATAGTTTCATTTTGTTGACATGAAAATCAGTTTTGATTTCATCGTGGTAAATGGTTATTTTCTTCAGCCTTGTTTAAAAGTAGTGTGGAAAATGGTATAGTGTCTGAAACTGGACTTCTGGTGACAGCATTGCCAAACACAGGCAGTTTAATTATCCAGAATAATTTGTATTCTCTTAGTACAAACCTAAAGTGCTAGCTGCCGTCACCTGTATCAAATACACATTTAATCCATTGTAAAACTGTTGTTTTACTTGAGAATTACTTGAGAATGTAATCATTTAGGTTTTGGAAAACTGTTTGAATTTCACGCTTTGAAAGTGAAAGGTGTTTCCAATCAGAGAACCTTGCTTCACAGCCCAACCTTTCTTTTAACAAAACTCCCCTCCCCTATTTCCTCAAATTTTCTTTTAACATAGGTTTTGTTTTGTTTTGAGGAAGATTAGCCCTGAGCTAACATCTGCCACCAGTCCTCCTCTTTTTGCTGAGGAAGACTGGCCCTGAGCTAACATCCGTGCCCGTCTTCCTCTACTTTATGTGTGGGACGCCTGCCACAGCATGGCTTGCCAAGCAGTGCCGTGTCTGCACCCAGGATCTGAACCGGCGAACCCCAGGCTGCCGAAGCAGAACATGTGAACTTAACCGCTGCGCCACCAGGCCAGCCCCTAACATAGGTTTTTAAAAGGGGCTTGCTCTTAACGAGTTAAATGTGAGCATCAGACCTCCTGGTTCTTCTCATGTTGCAGTTGTGATCACTTTATGATGACCACTCTTAATTGTGCATTATAGCTTTAAATAGGTGTTGGCACAGGGGTATCAGTACTACCCAGTTACCATAAGTAATTCCTTGGAAGAGTTTAGATACTGTTAACCCTCTATGATAGTGGAATGGTCTTTTGCGAAGTACCTTATGGGCAGGTAAAACAGTTTTATCTTTCCTGTTATTCTTTGCTTTTGCCAGTTGTATGTTCAATTATTTGTTTTTAGAATAACTATAATGACCTGAAGGAGCATGTGATTCTCAGACTAGTATGTATTAGACATGCTTTTTTACTTTCACGTGTGGAGGTTTTTCACATTTCTAATTCATTGCTGTCAAGAACTACTTAGTAATAGCTGAAGTGTACTGCTTTATAATCTGTTCAAGTTTTTGATAAGTCTGTGTGTTATAAGAACATCTTTACCTCTTGAGATTTCTTAAGAGGTCATATTGCAGCGTTATTTTAAAAGTCTTCAAGTTCTTAGTTATCTGTACTAATGGTGACAAGTGTGAAAATGCCTAAATGAATTAACAAATAAGGCTTATTGAGAGAGTATTTTCAATGACCTTAGTCTTTTTATCAGTTTCAGTAATGAATAGCAAAACTTGCTGGCTTGAATTTTTTTTTCTTCTTCTTCTTCTCAATATCTGATAAGGTTCTAATATTCTAAACCAGGATTGAGGTGGACATGGTGGTGGTTGAAGGAGCACAAATCTAATCAACTTCTGAAAAATAACTATTACTTAGGAATCTCTTCGTTTATCTCATATTCGTGGACCTGATTTAGAGATTAATGTTAGAGACCACTTTCAAGTCTTGGTTAATAAAATATTTTGACCTTCAATGGATCGTTTCTGAATATATCCTAGCCAGTGTAGTCAGCCTATACAAAGAAGCCCAGTATTAAACAGTTTGCTCAAGTTGCAGCTTCCTTATAGAGCAACACCGAGAATAAAGCACCCAGTAACCTAGAACCAACAGAGCCCTCATTAACTTCCCTGTAGTTTCAATACCCACAACAGCTATTTCTCTTTCTGCGTAGGTATCAGTCAGAGCCGGATCTCTCACTGGCTGTTGCAGCAGGGATCAGACCTGAGTGAACAGAAGAAAAGAGCATTTTACCGATGGTATCAACTGGAGAAGACAAACCCTGGTAAATATTCTTTTTTTTTTTTTTTGCATCTGAAACAAGACAAATGTAATTAATTACTTTATTGAATCCATGTGCTGACTTGTCTTCACTAAGGTAATTTCATACTTTTATTGTTGTTCCTTTAGGCCAAAGAACACTCTTAATTGTAAAACCTAAAAGCTGATTGTACCAATTTTTAGTTTAGTGTCTGAAATTATCTAGTCATTTTCATTCCTTCCCTCAAGGTGCCTCTTTGTTTCTGGGTTATATGTGATTTCAAACCATGGTTTGAAAGAAAGATCACGATTGTCAGTGGCTGACTTTCTTTTCATCAACTATAGGTATACACATAAGATTCCATATCTAGTATTTTTAGTTTTGTTTTTGTTGAAATCTTGGGGCCAGCCTGGTGGCTCGTTGGTTAGGTTCGCAATGTAGGCTTTGCTGGTTCAGATCCTGGGTGTGGACCTACGCACTGCTCGTCTAGCCATGCTGTGGCAGGCGTCCCACATATAAAATAGAGGAAGATGGGACGGATATTAGCTCAGGGTCAGTCTTCCTCAGCAAAAGAGGAGGATTGGCAGCAGATGTTAGCTCAGGGCTGATCTTCCTAAAAAAAAATAATTAATTTAATTTAATAAAATCTTGTTTTAGTTAGTAATATAAATTTAATGCTTTTATTTAGTTCATGCTATACCATATCCAATGATCTCTGCTAATGATTTTCTGGTTTTAATTCTAATTACCTGGGTGATGAATGTGTCTTTGGACTTTAGGGTAGAGTTGCTCTGATGACTTCAGGAGCAACAATAGCTTGGAAAGTAGAATGAAATCTTAAGGAAAAAGATCACAAAAAACCTTTGTGTCTGAAGTTGCCAGGCATAGACAAGATCTATTGCAAACAAGTGGTATATAAAGTAGAATCTGAAGTTGTGTGACAGACTGTCTCAATCTACACGGTACACAGACTGGTGACAGTGAGCCTGATCCCAAGTTTAACCTTGTGATTGAGCTGTCTTCTGTAATACTACAGTATTAAAGTCTTTGCTTACAGACTAAATAACCAATTGGAATATTGCATATTGACTCTTAATAATAGTATCATTGGCTCTTAGATGGAAATAAAGAATGTAAATAAAGACATATTTGTGTGTGTGTGTGTCTGTGGTGAGATTTTTTTTTCAGAGATTGTATTCTCAATCTGAAAGGCACAAAACAGAGCAGACCTCTCTGCAATGAATTTTTTTTATCTACCCTGCCCCCTAATTTCTATTTTGAAATATTTAAGATGTACAGAAAACTTGAACGACCAGCACAGTGAACACCTGTTTACCCTATTCTTAGATACAATAATTGTTAACATTTTACTGTATTTTCTTTAATCCCTATATAAGTAAATGAATAAATTTTAAAATATATATATACATATATGTATACACACACACACACATATTCACTCTTTCTTCAGCATTCATCTCCTGGAAAAAAACGGTAATTGCCTACATAACCACAGTCCCTATTAACATATTTAAGAAAATTAACAGTGATTCCATATCATCTAATATCCAGTCCATATTTGCATTTCTCTAGTTGTTGCGAGAATGTCTTTTGTAGCTTTTTTTTATTAAGTAGTATCTGGTTTGGGTTGACAAATTGGAATTTGTTGTTATGTCTCTTTAGACTCTTAAATCTAGTCACTCAAACATGAAAATGACAAACTTTTTTTAACCATCTGATCTTACAGAATGTTCCACATTCTGGATTTTTCTGTCTCCTCTTAGTGTCAGTTCACTTATTCCTCTCTAGCCCCTGTATCTCCTGTAAACTGAAAGCTAGGATTAGAAGCTTGATTAGATTGAGGTTAAACATTTTTGGCAAGAATACTTCATTGATTATTTAGGGAGGGCATATACTAATGGCTGCAATTTACTTTGAAATGCATCAAAATAAAATGAATAGGGAGATCGGTAGATATGTGATAAAGTACATAAAATATTAGATGGTATGAGTACATATTTTCACTATAAAATTCTTTTATTGTTGCTGTTATGTTTGAAACTTTTCTCAAAGCATTGGGCTTATGCTTTGTAGGTAAGCTTCAGCTCATATTACCACATATCAAGAGGCATGAAATGTCAGGTTGTAGCGCTATTCATATGCTAAGTTTTGTCATTTGTTAAGGTAGTGACCACCAGATCTTATCTTTGCGGTTTCTAAATAATCTGTAGGACATCATTTTGCCACTGGATGAATATCCTCTTCTACAATAACCTTTGCCAGTGGTCTTAGCATCCATTGATGACTACCTAAATCAGTTATTCCAATGAAGATTGCAAAATGGTGATAATCTAATCAAGCATTCCTTCAACATTTATCGGCTGGCATTTTTTCTGCCAGGAAGAACTTTCATTTTTAGATATTTTTCTAATGATATCTCCATATATAAGCAAACTTCTCAAAATAAGACTCTGTTGCTGCCATTAGTTAAATGTTCTGAAGCAACACAGTTCAGTAGAAATATAATATGAATGATATATGTAATTTTACATTATCTAGTAGCCGCATTTAAAATGTAAGAAGAAATAGTTAAAATTAATTTTAATAATATATTTTATTTAACAAATACATATTAACAGTTCAACATTTAATCAATGCTTTTAATAATTATTGAGATTTCTTCCTTCCTTCCCTCCTTGCTCCCTCCCTCCCTTTTTGAAATCCAATGTGTATTTTACACTTAAAGCACATATAATTTCCAATCAGCCACGTTTCAAGTGCTCAATAGCCACATGTGGCTAGTGGTTACCATATCAGATGACACAGCCTTAGAATATATCATGGTTGAAGCAACACTTCAAACTCAGCTCTAAGCAATCTTTCCAAAGACATCATTTCTCCCATGATTCATAGCAGAGCAAATCAGATGGAGAGGGACAAAAATTTGGCACTTTGTCTGCTTAATAGAGCAGCTTCGGTTGATAGCAAGGGTTTGGCTAGGTAAATAAGCAACTGTGCCCAGGGGTTTCATAAGCCTGTTTACATTCCAGCAATTGGCTACCGAGGGGAGCATCAGGGGGATTATCAAGATGTTCCAAAATGTATAGGGCAGAACAGTGAAAAATTTGGAGGACAAACACTAGTCAACTTGTGTCAGGCAATCAGCCTCCCTAAGAGAAGGGATTTTTGTCGCTTGGATTTGACAATTAGCACGATGCCTTGACATATAATCTGATTACAGTTGGTGAGGCTGAATTCCCACCCTGGAATTTCAGGGCTGGGCTCCAGTCCCAGGCAGGGACTAGGATACCAGGAAAATGAATTCACTAGAAACAGGAAGGAGAACTAAGGTCCATCTCTCAGGCTGCAGAAACATTCTTGTAACTGATCTGATAGCACTGCCAACTATGGAATACTACTACTATTGGAATCCTGTTTTAGTACTGGGGTGATATAGTGTTCTTCTGAAGCTGTTTTTTAAAAAATTATTTCTGTTTTTAATCTTATTTTTTAAATATTAAAGATTTTTTAAATATTAAACATTTCTTAAATATTAAATTAATATTTGTTAATTTCTCTTAGAACCAGGGCTAGGTTCACTCATCATCAGGAAGCTGGAGGAAGGTGGAACTAGGGCAGTGAAACAGAAAAATGGGAAAGGACTAACAGCATTCATTCAGCTATTGATTAGGAACTGTTTTCTTTAAGGAGGTAGTACCTGCTTTTAAGAATAAGTTCTCCTAATTATATGTTTGCTTTTCAATGAAGTTACATACCAAGTGTCCTGCTTGTAAGGATTTTCTAATTTTTTAATGTTTATTTTTACTTTGTTTAATTAATTAGTTAAATTTTTTGGTGAGGAAGATTTGCTCTGAGCTAACATCTGTTGCCAATCTTCCTCTGTTTTATTTTCCTTGAGGAAGATTAGCCCTGAGCTAACATCTGTGCAACTCTCCCTCTGTTTTGTATGTGGGTCGCCGCCACAGCATGGCTTGATAAGTGGTGTAGGTCTGCGCCCAGGATCCGAACCCAAGAACCTGGGCCGCCAAAGTGGAGCATTCCGGACTTAACCACTATGCCATAGGGCCAGCCCAGGACTTTCTATTTTTTTATTTGAAAACCAAATCTATACTGATTCCCGGTTTGTTCTAGTTAAGTTTTCTGTAAGACATAATTTAGTTAGCTGAAGAGAAGAGGATAGGTTCATAATTGTCAATTGGTAGTTTTTGTTGCATCAACAGTAATTGGATGATAGCAATTGAAATTTAATTTTTTAAAGTTTTTCTTTGCATTTTCACCTTTATTAATAGAGCTAATATTGTACAGATTTCTTTCTAGATATGTGCAGTTTTTATTTTGCTGACTTTTATCCTTTGATTTTAGCTAAAGAATTATATTGTTTTTTCTTATTCCATGGACACTTTGGAACTACTAATAGGTTTGGATAAGATGAACTAAAATTACATTAGCATCTAAGAACAGCTTATCCACTGTTTCTTATAGTACATTAGAATCTTCTTTGCAAGTCATTGCAGAGATGGCTGGAATCCACTTAAATGTCCCTCAGTAGAGAGCTGGTTAAATAAATTGTGGTATAGCTGTACAGTGGAATTCTATGGAGGCTATATAGCTTTTTTTTAAGCTGTTTTATATGAATTGAATTTATATGTGGTAGTATCAAATTCATAAGTGAATAAAGTAAGGTACAAAACAGTGGATATAGTATATTGCCATTTATATAGGGGGAATACATACACACACCCACACACACGTATATGCTTATATAAACAGAACATCTTTGGAAGGCTATATTAGGAGCTGACCCAAATGACTCTGTGGTGTGGGACTAAGAGACTGGGAGTACAGGGGTGGCAGGGAGACTGTTAACTATATGACCTTTCGTGTCTTTGTAAATTTTGTACCATGTACTTATAGTATACCTTTGAAAAATACATATAAAGTGTAATGTAAAGGAGGGAGAGAACGAGGAAGAAAGTAGAGAAGGAAGGGAAGGAGGGAGGCAA